ATAGAATAGAATAGAATAGAATAGAATAATGGAATGAAGAATAGAATAGAATGGAATGGAATAGAAGAATGGAATGAAGAATGGAATAGAATAGAATGGAATAGAATTCTTTAGGCTAGTATCTTAAACATTACTCCAAACTTTATCCATGATTTAAGTACATCTTCCCTTTTCTATTAAACAAAATGTACTTCTATATTAGCATAAGGTGTCAAACAAATTTCTCAAAGCAGTAAGACTGAGTTTCTTAAGGAATAGGTGAAGGATTATGAGCCCAAGGAACAGCTGATTAGTACAGAAATAGAGAACCCGATGCTCTTTAAATTAAAACGCTCCCAGTCTCTTGCTTTAGAAAAGGGTCTGATGGGTGTGATCCAGTCAGTCATAATATCAGTCACAACACTGTAATTGAACTTTGCCATTTTTTTTAATGTGTATTGATTTCTTTTCCACATCCAGCAAAGAGTCCTTTTATTGTGGTTGGAACTCATGGAGGATGAAATCAAAAATATCTGAAGGAAAGCAAATAGCCCACCTCTAGGTTAATTCTGAAAGTTTTTAAAAAGAAAAAAAAATCCATTCAATATTCTAAAAATAGATGTTACATTTGTGGGTGAAAGCTGCAAAAGAGGATTACCAGTAAATACTATGTTTCTTATTCTCTTTCAATCATGTCTGCACAGAAAATGAGCTGAATCAAAGGAGGAAACCTCTACTAAATTGCACAAAAGGCAACTTAGTTGCAAGAATGAAGTAATTAATGCAAGGCAACATTTGCCTTTGTTTTTTGTCCCCACTTTTGCCTTTACATTATGTGAATTGTCTCACAAAAGAGCTGGAAAATAAACCTTTCTAAAGCAATCAGCAAAAATATTTCAGTAAACGTTTTAAAACGTTATTCCCAGGGTATCGGGAGAAAAAAAAATTCCCTTTATTCGGTTTTAATTTTTATAATAATATATGTTCAATAGGTAAATTATGAGAGGTTGAGACGATGTTTAAAGCTAAATTAGCCGCCCCACACAATTTTTTTAATGGGCTCCGAAATCATAGAAACCTTTGGGTACTATTTACTGTATTCTGATTGGACAGTTTAATTTCGTATTGGTAGTTCATTGGACAGAGGAACAATAAGGTTCGTTTAAAAAAAAAAACACAACCAACAACCCTTCGCCCGCTGTTTTCATTCTGGTCGGTCTCTATGCAATATAAGCTGAGGGATTCGTACGCCAACTGCATTTCTTTTGCTGCAAGCGAGGTTGGTTGGTACGTGAAGAGAAGCATGTCTGGACGTGGAAAAGGCGGCAAAGGGCTCGGAAAAGGGGGCGCTAAGAGGCACCGGAAAGTGCTCCGCGACAACATCCAAGGCATTACCAAGCCTGCTATTCGTCGTTTGGCTCGCCGTGGGGGAGTAAAGCGTATTTCTGGCTTGATTTACGAAGAAACTAGGGGCGTACTGAAGGTTTTCCTGGAAAACGTTATTCGCGATGCTGTGACCTACACCGAGCATGCAAAGCGAAAGACTGTGACTGCGATGGACGTTGTTTATGCCTTGAAACGCCAGGGTCGTACTCTGTATGGCTTCGGGGGCTAAAAGTTGAATTAACCGAATAAAAAACCCAAAGGTCCTTTTCAGGGCCGCCAAATATTTCAGAAAAATTTGCTGAGTTGCTTGCTGATTTTTTTAAGCAGAATTTTGCTATAAACATTCGAATCTTAAACTATCGTGAATGCATGCATGCATGAGACTTTAAATCCAGTTTGCTAGCAAATTTTGAGGAACAATTCCTGTAGGGTTTTTTTAATCCAAGATTTTCTGAAATAGGTTGCTATTATTTTCCTTTAAATGGGGTTGTGAGAAACTACATCTCAGGTGACCCAGCTGCTTGAGGCAGAGTTCATAACTTCTGGCTTTGTATCCTTGGAGTTTCAACCCCTGTTTCAAATTAGGCTTTCCTTAATATTGTCCACATGAAAATATAGTATTGCAACATTTTAATTCTAAGAATAATTAGAGTTGTGTAAAACAAGACATAAGCACTATGTCAAATAAATGCAATGCTATTTTGAAAAAGGATATTTCTAACAAACAACAGTCCTATATTCAACACTCTGCTAAATTCAATGAGAATTAGTCTGGAATAAAGATTGCAGCCCTAATGCAATGGCTCTAATTGGAAGATGTTTTAAAAAATCAATACCATACTGTCTCTTAAAGCTGCACAGTAAAAATGCAAAGGATTTTTTTTTTGCTTTTTGTTAATTTATGTGAATTGAAAAGTTTATAGTTTTCCTTCACTAGATGACTGATGAAAAATGGGGGAGGGAGGGGAGGGAAAGTAGTCATGATCTTTAAAAATGTGTGTTGGTGGACTAAGATCACAAATAGATGCCACTTCTGCTCCAGAACAAAGTCAGGAATCATTCTCTTCCTTTGAGAATTACAGTATAGGCCTGAATTTTTGTTATGGCTTTTTACTATCCCATTTTGGTGAGTTTAAAGCTTGTTTCAGCTTCTCTTAATTGTGTAGGACTCATGCTTCACTCCAGGACTAGATTCACCTCTTATAAAAGTATTCCAGATAGGAGTATGCCCCCCTACCCCCACACTTCTTGGGTATAAAGTATTCTATTTTTATCTGGTTGCTTTGTACTGTTTTTTGTAGCAAGGATTTAATAGTTAATTCTTTTAGTGCATTGTTTAAACTCTCACAGCAATAATCTCTTGCTTTCTAAAGAGCTATTCTGGTAATAATATTTAATTTATATAAATTACAATTGCCACAGGGGCCCACCAAGGTTGTGTGCTTTCTCCATTTCTCTTCTCCCTATATATGCCAATGACTGCATCTCAAATGATCCATCTGTTAAAATACTGAAGTTTGCAGATGATACAATAGTGATTGGTCTCATTTGAGACAATGATGAATCCCCATACAGACAGGAGGTTGTACAAGTCGCTTCGTGGTATAACCGGAATAATCTGGAACTGAACACGATCAAAACCGTAGAAATGGTGGTAGACTTTAGAAGAAACCCTCCCATATAACATCAAAAACATCATCAAAAAGCACAACAAAGAATGTTCCTCCTGTGCCAACTCAAACTGCCCAAGGAGCTGCTGATCCAGTTCTACAGAGGATCATCTGCACCTCTGGTTTGGTTCTGCAACCCAACAGGACAGACACAGACTTCAGAGGATAATTAGGACTGCAGAAAAAACAATTACTATCAACCTGCCTTCCATCGAGGGCCTGTATACACAAGTCAAAAAGGGGGCTGTGAAAATATTTACAGATCCCTCACATCCTGGATATAAACTGTTTCAACTCCTTCCCTCAAAATGATGCTATAGAGCACTGTACACCAGAACAACTAGACACAAGAACAGTTTTTCTCCGAATGCCATCACTCTGCTAAATAAATAATTCCCTCAACACTGTCCAACTATTTACAAAGTCTGCACTACTATTACTATTAATTCTCCCATCCTTCCTTTCACCCATCCCCTCCCACTTGTATGACTGTAACTTTGTTGCTTGTATCCTAACAATTTATATTGACTGTTTCCTAGTATGATTTGACTGCTTATTTATTTAATTTATATTGCTGCCTATTCGCCCATGGCGACTTGAGACGGCTTACACAATGTAAAACCATATTTAAAACAAAAAATAAAAACAATAAAAACTAACAAAAAGAATCAAATAAATTAGTAAAATACAATAGAACAAAATCTGGGAAAACAAAAAAAACAAAATAAAAAATAAAAAGCCAACTCCCACCCACTCCTGATGACAGCAGATCACACTAGCCACCTGATGGGCTCCATCCCTCTCTGGGCTCCCCAGGCCCACTGGCAAAACCAGGTCTTCAGTGCCTTCCGGAAGAGTGATAGAGTGGGGGCCATTCCAATCTCTGGGGGAATTATGCTCCAGAGAGATGGGTATCTCCCTCAGGGGTGGGACCCACAACATTCCCTGCCTCCTTGCTCTAATGGGTCGGGTGGATGTGACCGGCAAGAGACGTTCCCTCAGATAACCTGGTCCCAAGCCATGAAGGGCTTTAAAGGTGACAACCAGCACCTTGAATTGCACCCAGAAGCAAATCAGGAACCAATGCAGCTCCTGCAGGAGTGGTGACACATGTGCACACCGGGGTCTGCGGGCCGCTGCATTTTGCACTAACTGGAGCTTCCGGATGCTCTTCAAGGGCAGCCCCATGTAGAACGCGTTGCAATAATCAAGATGGGAAGTGACCAGGGCATAGTGACTGTGAGTAGGGACCGCTGATCCAGGAAAGGGCGTAACTGGTGCACAACCTGCAGTTGCACAAAGGCCCTCCTGGCCACGACTGCCACCTGATCTTTGAACAGGAGTTGTGAATCCAGGAAAACCCCTAGGTTACGCCCTATGTACCTTATTGTACCCTATGACTTTATTCTATATTCTATATACCCTATGACTATATAACACTATGACTAATATTAAGTGTTGTACCTTATGATTCTTGATGAATGTATCTTTTCTTTTATGTACACTGAGAGTATTTGCACCAAGACAAATTCCTTGTGTGTCCAATCACACTTGGCCAATAAAGAATTCTATTTCTGTTGTTCTGTTCTATTCTGTTCTGTTCTATTCTATTCTATTCTATTCTATTCTATTCTATTCTATTCTATT